GATACCTTCACGACTGTTATCTTAGGTGGTTTTGTCAGGTCTATTAGTTGACAATGACAAACGAATATTAACAAAAACAAACTCAAGACTTGGCAGTCATCAAAAAACTGTCCTCCCGCCTTTGGGATGACGTGGGATGTGTGGGATTCTTACCCACTAAAAAATAACACCGTGTACCTACGATCGCCATTGCCGGAGTCGGAAGGTCGTGTTAGCATAACTACCGCGGCTCCGGCGGTGGTTTTTTATTTATGGATGATAATGGAATGGTGCACCCGCCTGCGCTTATCGGATTCTATAATCGTAACAAATTCACCAGGAATTTATCGGTAACCGTTAACCATAACATGGGTCGTATGCTTGATTTTTATACCACCACTTTGGTATAAAATATTACTAAGTTGACAAGAAAATACTTTCATGTCCATAATAAACAGTGCTGTCATCATTCGTCAGTCGTATATTTATAACATGTTAGCAATGACGATAATTCCTAAATCGACACCAAACTATTCAGGTGGTCACGCGAACATGGCTCGCTCTTGGTTCATTAGGCAACTCTGCGTGCTCTTCAAATAGACATTAGTCCGGTCCGATGTGACCCCTCCTAATCGTTTTTCGATTTCTGATATTGACTTTGGGTGTGGGTTCGTTCGTGTCCGAAAGCGTCTAGGGTTGTCACTCCACTATTATAGTTCTAAAAAATATCATTTATATACTATTCAATTTTAATAAGACATTGCAATGGTTGGTAACTGTCATCTTTTAACAGCTTTTAAACGATCCGTTGCACCCATACGTCCGTTTTTATGGGAAATTTTGAGAAACTGTTAGAACCCTGGCGAAACCACTAAATAGTGTTATTTCAAGTTTTCCATCTTTTTTATTTGTACTTTGTTCCGCTAGTCCTTTTTTTATGTTTATCGGAAAAGGACCTGACGTGGTGATAAATGTACTAAATTTTCTGTCACCATATTGAAATAGTTTGTCCGTTCGGATCAGCTTTCCACTGATCTCAAAAATTAGAAACTAGTCACGGGTTCCTAATTGACATAGTTCATAAATACATTTTTATATAAACTGGTAAAAACAAAATTCAAGGTATATAGAAAATTTCCGTTTTAACTTCAAACTAGATTGATCGCAAAATATCAAATAATGGATAGAACAAATACACGCAATTTCAGAAGAATCGTATATTGCTAAATTTTTTTTTAATTCTATATCGTATTCATATAGACAAGACGTTATGGGTATTACAGTAGACAATGACAATTATATACGGAAATTAATCGTAAGTAAAGGACAAGACACAAACAAAAGAATAAAGGGACAAGATACAAACAAAAGAATTTGTAGATCTAAGCTTATGACTCATTATAAAGTACCTGATCAAGGCAACTCGAATAAAGGTTAAAACTCCTAAACGGGCAGCGGCGGCATCCATCGGTTTGGATTCCGCTGATATCCCATTTTTGTTTAGCACACCGACGGTCGGCACCAGTCAAGAAACCACTCGGCAAACCTAGGACTAAGCAACCCAAGAAAGTCAAATTTATAAGTAAGTATATTCGTATTTTGTAGGATATTGTCTGTTTTATATTGCGTTGCATCAAATTCTTAAAATGTATACTAGAAATTGATATAATTTAATCAACCATTGCGCACTTTGTTCTGGAAAATTCCAGGTTATAGTATAAGAGTGTTTTATATTTGGTAATCTATTATCAACTGCTTACGTGTTAGCATCATCACCTGACATCAAACTTTTGAACATCTGCAATAAATTCCCAAGGTTTATGAACTGAACCACTGCGCTCTTCCACTCGTTCATCACGACAGTTGCTATGCTTAATTTTATCTGGACAATTTTTTACCCCGATCATAATTTAGTCTTGATTATATAGACCAACACTTTGCTTGATTGGCATCAAAGCAATAACCGTGTTCTTTCTTCTATGAAGTTGCTACACTTAATTGGCTGTGACAATATGAAGTGCCAAGTGGTGTTGAAGATTAGGAAAAATGACACCAAGGACATCGATATTGTAGCATTCTTTTTATTTTCACCTCTGACAAACCCTGAATACATTACAAAGCTTTAAACATTATCTTAATACTGTAAAGGGATCATTCCCCTATTAACCCATATTCTACAGTCTAAAGGTACACTGAAGCGCTTAATCTCACTCTGCGTAGGTTTTGTTTTATAGCTTCTATTGTGTCTAAAATAGGTTAAGGGGGCTCTACACAATGTTATATATATGTATTTATACATATATGAGAATATAAATATAATAATGAGAATAAAGAGAAAATATATATTTCATTGTTTCAGCGCATAAAGACTTGTTCTGTCATTCATATAATCATCTCTTAAATTAACATTATTTATATGTATATAAGTATCTCTTTTTTATTACTATTTTTTGCAGGGTATATATATATTTGGGGGTTATATCTATTTTTGTATAAATAACAAAATAATATATAATAACAAACTATCAATTTGTAATGGCAATTAATTTTTTTGAATGCTCTGTTCGTAACACAGTCACTTTTCATATATATATATATTTATGTAGTACAAATAACATACGATATAATTGAAATCATATTATGATTTTTATATATTTCATGTTTTATGTTATACTTTATTTCTTTCTACTTCTTTCCAACTGCTGAAGCTTAAAGCTAATGCTAAAATGCATTGTTATGACCCAATATAATATCGCTAGTATCTCCGATTGTGATAGACAGAAATAACAATAGAGAAAGTTAATAAATCATTACTATATATATTTTGTGATTAATAACACAAAGAATGATTGCTGTAAATATAGATAGATAAAAACGTTATTGGCATCTTCAACACAAAGGTATAGTTACACGCAGCTTAGTCATACCTCATGTAACCATTGTAACCTTATTGGGCAGGACAGTCCTGTTTTCAAGCAATCTGTATAGCGCTCCCAGCCAGAACCAAAATTGATCGCTTTCCATACGTATCATGTTACCATTCTAACCTCATTGGGCAGGACAGTCCTGTTTTCAGGACAAAGTTATTTATTTATTATAATAAGGATGATATATATTACACCTACAGGTATATGTGTATATATATATGGATGATGCTCATCCTGATGATGGAAACCATCCTACAAGAGAAATTGTAAATATTTGTTTCATCTTAAGTAGGTACAAATATTACTATTATGATTGAATGTATTCAACGAAGCTGTGAATTTAAGTATATTTATCAGTTTTCCTGCTAGCAAAACATGTGTGAAATTGTATGAAAAGTTTTTCAATATTAGTTAGTAACCCGTCTCCGCTTCGCCGAATTAGGCAAACTTTCCTGTAGTAGTAGCAGTAGCCAGAAAAAAGTGTATCGCTTTTCATACAAACTTTCGTTGTGATATGGGAGTAAAAAAGAAAAAGAATAGAACGTTTGCGGTTTAAAAGAAAAAAGATAAAAGTACAATAATGATTTCAATATATTTTTGTAAAAAACACCCTTAGTTTTTTTTTAGTGTTTAGGCGTGCATAGCCTACCTTGGCCGTTTACCATCAGATGGGCCATATGCTTAAAAAACACTAACTATTACTGCTAAGTTTCGGCTTAGACTTTCCGATTAACCCTTTACACTGAGCCTTTACTGTAAAGTTCCACTTTGTAACATAATAAGTGGTCATATTAGTCATACCCAGACAAGTACAACTTGACGCGCAGTTACTGTGCGATTTCCGTGTGACTCATCCGCCCGGGAGGGTTGCAACCCTCCCGACTCCCTAATAATTAAACAATGTAACATTCCTCCCGTCTTTCCGCGAGTATAACGACCCGACCTTGAGCGAGTTACTTAAGTAGCAAATACCCTCGCATTTTTAATTCCAACGCCTAAATTATGACTGGCGGTTAATTAAACGGCGGTTAACGGTGCCTACTCATAAGCGGGGTGTTAATAATTGTTTGCGACACGTAGTTTGGCCGGCTATAAGCAGTTGATTATACGGTACGAATTGTAATTAGGAAGCGAAATTTACGGCGCTACGCGTAATTACAAATGCTATGGGGAAATGCGGGGAATAAAAATTGTATTTGATTACTTGCGACTAATGGATGAATTGGTACTGAATACTGATATAGAATTGTATAACTTAACTAACTGTACCGGCAAACGTTGTCTGGCCATGCCATTTTTTTTTTAAATAGGGCTAATACTTCTACAATCAGATAGAAGTATGAAAATTTTGCATTGCATGTGTTTTTCAGTGCCAAATCATAATAAAATAAAACAAATGGGGTGGGTTAGCTTTATCATTGAGAAGTATGAAAAATAGATGTTAGCCGATTCTCAGACCTACCCGAAATGCGCACAAAATTTCCTAATAATCGGTAAAACCGTTTCGCAGGAGTTTAATAACCACTACCGCGAGCGGAGAAATTTCTATATTAGATATACCTATATATATGTGTATATAGTATATATCTTTCATATTAAACTAACATACTTTATTGTGAAGATATATTTAAAGAGTAATACGTACAATAGAGCGGACGACAAAGTATTAAATCTGGTTTAGTCTATAGGCAGACACAATGCAAACAAACTTTTTAAAATTATCGGCGAATGCGTCAGCAAGTATAGAACGTCACTAGCTATTAACTGAGTTGTTTGCTTAACGAAATATCATGAAATTTTAGCATTTACATAGCATTTAGGATGCAGAAGCGTATACAAGTATGTAGGTTATTGTTTGTAGCCTATATTTAGGCAGCTGTGAATGTAAACCACAAACAGCTTGTTTGAAATCGAGAGCACTCTAAAAAGTCTCCGATACAAAGAGATAATCATAGTATAAAAATAAATAGTAAAAAAAATCCTTAGAAATAGAGAGAGAGAGAGAGAGAGAGAATACTTTCTTTTATCAATCTCTTTCTGCCTTCACTTCTAAAATCTAGATGGAAATCTATTAATTTGTCCCTTTGTTCACAGCGACCGAAATCCGTTGCCAAGAAATGTCGAAGGGTGGTCTGGCGTACGAGGTGATCCTCGCGGAGCCAATTGGTGTACCGGTGCCGCGCCGCGCCGACTCGCCAACCGAGAAGACTGCATCCGTGGAGGAAATCCAGGAGAAACTTAAAGCTGCAGAAGAAAGGAGACGCGTATGTACCTTAAATTACAATCTATTCTACTGTCATACCTTTGTGCGTATATTCTTTAAAAAAGGATACCATCACGATTTTAATTAGTAGGGTAGTCAGAGGTGTTGTCAAATATCGATATCATGGTGAACACAACACTTGATACAATAATAATAAATAACCCTAGACAATTAAAACAGCGCCATCTAGCACCACGGTAAGCAGAGCTCGTGTTATAGGTACTAGACAACTGATATAAATACTTAGATAATATTTTTTTGGAATAACATAATATATAATACATAGAAAATACTCTAACCCTGACCTGTGCAAACGTTTGGAGTATGATACATGATACAATACAACCCGCGTCTGTCGGAAAGCGTTGTACTAAATCGCAAGGCCACTGTGGTTCAAATTTCGATTCAAAATTAGAAATAATACTGTGAACGAAGGACTGTATATATATGGGGCTGGTAGATATAATTATGCAAACACGGGTTTTAGGAAGCAATAATATAATTTTATGTACAAAAGTATAACAAATAGCAAAATAAGAATGACAATCATATATATTTTTCTATATAAAATAATAGACAAAATACATAAATAATATACAAAGAGGTGCGTCGTGCACAGACATTTTAGTAATTGATTTTTCAGCAAATGTAGTGTTTTAATTTGGTAGCCTGCAGAAATCTGTTTGTTTGTTACGCTTACTCTATTCATCTTAAAATTTGGCGTCATGAAGTAAATTCGAATATTACAGAGTTTGGAAGCGAGCAAGATGGCGGCGATTGCATCCAAGATGGCGAAGATCGAGGAGGCGTCCCGAATCCGCAGCGAACAAACGAACAACTTCATTTCTACCACCAAGGAGGCGCTCGACGCCAAGATGGAGAACCACGAGGAGAAACGCGAGGCGTACATCAACGAGTTGCGCGCCCGGCTCAAGGACCACCTCGAGGGTGTCGAGAAGACCAGGTACGTATTCAAACCCAATCAAAATATCCTTAGTCATACAGATATAGCCTTAAACCATATCAAAATATCTTTATTCGTATAGACTCTATACTATAGAGGAAGTCGAGAAGACCAGATATTGCCTCAAACAAAATCAAAGTATCTTTATTTTTATAGGTGTCTATTACAAATATCTAAATTTAAGTTATTTGCATAAAGAATTCACTATTTTATTTTTATTGTAAGTCAAATCTACCATCTGTTGGGCCAAGTTAAGTTAAATTAGAGCCAAGAAAAAGTGACAAGAAACTCTGCCTTTATTCATACTAAATGAGATGGTACATTCTTAATTTTTGAGGGTTTTGGGCTATTGTCAGGTGCTAAGATCTGTAGTACTGCGGCCGGCATAGATCTATTGTGACTAGACCTAGACCTTTTTTAAAGTTAAAACTACCTAGTCCCGTCATGGATAAAAATTGAATGGAACTCTTAGGAGCGATGTTTTGTATCTCCTTAGGATAGAGTGTATACTTTCCAAAGGAGATATTCCGTTTATGCGCAAGTCGGCTACAACCACATAGGATGTGTAGTGGCGTTTCCTCTTCAGCTTGGTACAATCGATTTTTGTTGTATATATCATCAGGCGGGCCGTTAACTCTTTCGCTATTCAAGTTACATCTATGTTATTCACTCACCGTCTAATTCTGAATTGATGATGAATGCGCCATATGCTGGCTGGGAACCTGTGGAAGATGACAGGATTAAGGGTGATACCACATAAAAAAACACATGATAAATTCATCAGGAATTTATCACGGACTTAAAGGATAATCATCATCATTATCAGCCCTAAGGGATGGTTTGATTTTATAACCTCGGTGATAATTTTAGAACTGTAGCAGTTTTAATAGTTCAGCACACTGGCTTACTTTCTGATGTTCGCGGGTTCGGTCCCCTCATTCATTTATATTCACGAGTATCTATTTGTATCGGATGTGGGTGTGATTCAATGAATATTATTAATCTATATACAAACATAATATATTACTCATATACATATGTCTATCTGTTGTCTAGTATACAAAAATGAAGTCTAGTTAGTCTGTACAAACTTAATATATTACTCATACATTTGACTATCTATTCTCTAGTACACAAAAATGAACTCTAGTATGAAACGAGATGACGTAATGTGAGTTGTCTACGGTTATTAGTGTAAGATGATAAAATGAGCATGAAGTCAGGTTAGTTAGCCCATCCTGACAATTTCACCAGAAATTTATCATGATGGTTTCCAGGTGGAAGCGTCTGGATGTCAACCTGATATGGTACATTGGTAGCCAAATGATCATTAGTCCATATTCCATTACTCTAAGAATCCTGTACATTGTGTATTATTTTATACCAGATTGACGCTGGAACAGCAGACGGCCGAGGTGTACAAGGCCATCGAGGAGAAGATGACGACGGCCGCGGACAAGCGCGACGAGAACATCAAGAAGATGCTCGAACGTCTCCGTGAACATGTTAGTACATGTTTTAATTTAATTCATAGACATTCTTGACGATATACTTATATAATAATACCGTAACAACATTTTGTAATCATAATATTCAACACACTTGCTCTAAAGTAAAGTGGATCTAATTTTAACAGTTTTCGATATATAAAGCAAGTTCATAAAACACGCGTGCGTTATAAACGCAAATAGTGAAGTCATATTCCATAACTGAACTATCTTATTTTTTTTCAAATTTCTAACTGACCACCGCGGCCGCGCAGCGCCAGTTAATAAGCAGCAGATTTAAGAAAGCAACCTTGTGCATCACAGTTTTATAGTTGAATTTCTTAAAAATCAAGGATATTGTAAAACGTCGTATAATAAACCTGCTTATATAACATACTTGGTTCTATTAGGCACTCGCCTTCGGGTTGAAATTCCGCCTCGTATGTTGTGTTTTCTAGAAACTCTTTCCATGCACAACCACGATGTGGAATCACCTTCCACTAGTATTATTTCCGAATCGATAGGATATTGAAATTCCTTCTTAAAAGACCGGCACTTGCAATTCTCTTGAAGTTACGGCTTATGGGAGGCCACTAGGTGAGCCGTAAGCTCGTTTGTTCCCTATGCTATATAAAAACAAACATTACATGAAACTTCTTGAAACAGGAGGAGCAGGTCCGTAAAGTACGCGCTGGCAACCAGGAACGGTTCCAGCAGCTGGAGAGCGCCATCCAGGATAAGCTGCAGCAGGCCGCCGACCGCAGGTTGATGCTGGAGGCTGAGCAAAAGGAGAAACTGCGTAACCACGTGAGTTGCCCACCTTATTCGTTGCCATTTTATTATTCAGTAATTGCTGTGAATGATGACTTAAAATCAGGGATGCCAACTGTACAAAATTCGAGACTTACTAGTATTTGGATCTATAAAAATCGGTCAAAATACTATGATGTACGAAGTTAGAGAACCAAATTAAGATAATATACGAGTTTTTTTTCTATATATTTTTTCAAACATAAGTGTATTTAGGTTGGCAACCCTGTCTGGAATCTGGCTTAATTGTATTGTAATTGCGCGATGTATTTGTGTAATAAAATGTGGAAGTATGCTTATACTATTTGTGAATGTTGTATGGTGGTGGACACTAGTTGAAACAATGCCGAAATATCAGAAACTCAATCAAAATCATTCTTACCACGTTTTACGTGTGAAACTTAAAACAGTGTAGGTGTGCTACGCACAAATATGCAGTATAAGTACGAGTGAGATCATATTACATCGCTTTGCATAGCGCATCTACTGCACGTCCCTGCCCAGTCAGTCTTGTATTTAATGTAATGTAGGAATAATGTATTACATCTGTGATAGACTCCTGAGTTTTCATTTTGTGAACTCACCTAGATCACACCGAACACGCTATACTGATAACAATATATACCCACTGGCCGTGTTTCACCTATTTGAGGCCTAGGGAGCCCCTCTGACCATACTAATAAAGCACTATTTTTTAGAATAGATAGTCATTTTTGAACATTACTTTTTAGAGATGTATATGGAAATGACCTACATTCAAAACAAACCAGACAAAAATAATTTTAAAAAGTCGTCGTGTGATGAGGGGATTCAAGTTCTTGCTAGACTTTAACAAACACGAACTTATTGACATAGTCGGTAAGCGTTTGTTAAGACTGATTCAGGCGAGAGTATAGTAGCTATCGGTTATCGGTTTGTAATGGAGTAGGGACTAGACTAGACTAGGGGGCCCCAATCCATCGCGGGGCCCTGATCACGTGCCCACTGTGTCCAGTGGGGAAGAGGGACCTGTATATACCACAATATACTATACTTGTAACCGTGAAAACAGTATAAAAACTTGACTGTTACTCTTGTTAGTTTTTTTTTTTATTTCATATCAACCATTATGTAGATGTTGTATGAGTGTATGTGTGATATATGTTGCTTTACTTTAAATCATCCACTATTTCAGTTATACCACTGGCAATATATTCAGATCTTGAAATTCTGTTTAAATTATAGTGACATACATTTAAGGAATCTCCTGTACACTGAAATTTTAGCAAATTTCGACTATTTTGTCCGTGCTTATGACAGATAGACATACAGTTTTTTTTATTCAAATCTCTGAAGAATGTTTACATCAAAACTGTATCCAAAATAAAACCAAAATTATATACATATTACTTTATTACTTCATCCTCAGTTTTAAAATGCATATTTCTATATTTGTTTGTATCTTAGGTTCATTTGTATTTTTATTCATATTCATAAACGATTTTATCTCATTTCTATATTTGTTTGTTAATGTCCATTTGTGTTTTTGTTTATAAATAATTTTGTTCCGCATGCATCATGTTTTGTTTTTATCATTTTGTGTTGTCACTCCACGTGCACAGAACAATAAGCTCGCCGAAGTCCGGTCGGTGATCACCGCGAAAATGGAGGAAATTACTAAGGACATAGAGACGAAGCTGACGGCGGCCGAACAGAATAGGGAGAAAGTTATACAGAAGAAGCTTGATTTTGTTAAAAAAGAGGTTGGTAATGATCACGTGATGGTGAATAACATAATGGTGTTACCAGGATACGGCCCGGATTTGTCTAATTATTAGTGCATGATAAAACTTGTATAAATAACACTTTAGTTTTTTATTTAATTAACTACATGTTTACATTTTTTATGCTTCGAAATACTTCTTGTGTTTCGAGTAATATTGTATTAGGTATAGAACACATACTTTGAAATATATTTTGCAGTATTTTGAGTAATATTCTAACAGATTGACTGTGTTTTTGGTACTGAACTGTTTTGTCCTTTTCTTTCAAACAGTTTTCTACATTAGAATGAAAGCGACGCTGTATGGTACCGGTATTTAAATTTTGTGCGTGTGATGTAAGTTTTGATAATGGTTTAAATGACAAATAAGTATGTCGGATTTTGAGCGAACATCAAAATGTTTATAAAATCAGATGATTTCATAAAGTTCACGCGCATAAAGTTCAATACTATGTGAATGCTTACAAACATGTACGACAAATCAATTTTTATATGCGACATATCTTCAAATGTATGTTGAAATGTCTCCAAATATGTGTTCAAACTGTTGAAGATCCGTCTTGGTCAAACATAAAGTCCAATATTGTAATCTATATATTAATAAGTGAAGTACCCCTTTTTACTAAAATTACGCGGACGGAGAAGTATGAAATATCGCACATTTATACTGTACTGTGTTACTTCTAAGCATTTTCTATATATGTAAACATATATAGAAAACGCTTACAAGTAACACAGAAATTACTCTAAATCAATAAAAAAACATTACCCACACTACCATGTACATACACGCATAGTCTTCGACAGTAGAACCTTATTAAGGTTCACTCTAGTAATTTAAATTAAGTATAGTTGAATTTCGAGCACTAGTATTAATAATTTGACGTTCATTTGCAGGAGCGACGCGCTGAGCTGGTGCGACAGAACAAGAGTGCGCGCGCAGAGTGTGACACTGCGGCCGTCGATGGAGCCTCCGGCTAGGCCTCCTCCGCCGCCCCCGCCGCCCCGCGCCCGCAGCCGCCCCCGGGGACCTCCACACGATCATTAGCGCTACGCCCCTAGACGAGTGGCGGACACGTCACCATACCCACATGTATTGCACGAGAAAGAACACCGTATATTGCTGTCTCGTTCTATCTCATGCGTAGGAATATCTATGTGATTTGCTTTCTCAAAGGTGGCATTGTTTAGTAAGAGCATCGGCATGTCTTTATATCGAAATTTGTTGTAGAAAGAATAATAATGTTTTTAGAAAAAAAAACAGGGATTGTTGTGGGAATCTGTTGATGGGAGAAAACTGTAGCTCCAATGAGGAGACTGTCTCATTTCATATTAGGTTTTTTCTCTCTTAGTATAAAAAGGGTAAAAATATGTACAATAATAATTATACCTATTAAATAACGGTACGTTTCCCGTAACATATATTTTGTGACCTGTTGATATTTCACGGCTATTTTAAACATTCTGACAATTTAAAATCTTCTGTCTGTTCATATTATACGCCGTTATTTCGATAAAAAAATATGCCAATATTATTTACAAAATATGTTATCTAAAGAAAATCAGCATATACATAGTGTTTGCCACTTGTCTAGATCATCTGATCATAAATATACATACAAGTGAATGTTAGCAAGGTGGATTTAGACTGAACAGTCTGAATTTTACAATATAATACCACGTAAGGGGATTAGCCTGTAAATAGATGAACAATAACAAAAGAACGTACAAATTCTAATTAATGAATATACTTAGTTATCAACATCTCTTAGTATACTTAGACTAAATACCTTAGAAGATACCTAAGTTAAGAAGATGTCGCTTAGTCTAAATCCACCTTATAATTGGATAAGGTCCATGTGATGCGTACTACAGTAATGTGTTTGAAATGTACTGAAAAAAGTTACTAAAAACTGTTGATTATGTAATGAAGTTGCTGACAATTCTAAAGTTAATAATTACTCTTCACCCAAGAGCTCGAAGAAATGAAGTTGCTAATAATTCTTGTTAGAAACAGATTTCCAATACAGTGTTGCTATTAAACTTGAGTAACTGTTAATTGTTTCTTATGTAATTGCAATTCTGTCGAACTAAAGCTCTCAGTTGCAAAGTGCTGTTGTAACCGAGAGATTAATGATCTAATCCAGCTTGTAATATCTCAAAAATTCTATATTCAGGCCTAAGTTTATAAACTACCATCGGTACCACTGAGCAGGCGGTCCACCCTGGAGACCATCATGGTTGATTCCTAGTGATTTTGCTACCCTGGCCTAACTTCATGCTCATCTTATCATCCACTGATGCACCCCTCGCCAGCGTACAAGTTAGCGCAAACGGGTGCACCATTTCATATTCATTCATCAAACCACCAGGCGGACCGTATGCTTTATCGGGATCCCTATATTAAAACGACATTCGATTACAATCTTGTACGTATTTTACATGTTTACTGTTACGTCGAATGGACCTATCCGTGTAATCAGTTTTACTATCAACGTCTGTGGCTTCATTCAATTATGTGTTACGGCCAAAATGTTATAGCCAATGGAGGGTGCGCGCGCCGAATTTCTGCCAATAAATTTGAACACAAATATGTCTGACCTACTATTAATATTAAAGTAAGCAGAATAGAGGTTAGTTAGACTATAAAATGGCTAGCTGACCTGACCACGCGTCTGTCTTGTCGTGTTCTGTTCTTAAGTTTCTGTAGTCAAGGGATTTACAAGGAAGTTACTATAAGGAAATTTAAGTTGGACAAGTTGGACAGAACTAACTTTCAAAAAAGTGTAAATAATTTCACAGTTCATTCCAGAATAACATCTTGACTTTTCATCGAACTAAGCGGGTTTTAGTGTTGACCAATATTAGGAATACATCAGTGAAGGATGAATGGATGAGGATGAAATCAGATGGTTCCATCTAGCCAAAGAAAACTATAGTCTATACTTTTCTTTGTGGATTGCGTGGAGATTGTATAAGAGTGTACAATATTTCCAATAAGTAACTAGTCCTTAATACTAATAATTCCCTTGTCCCATTCGATGCTTTATCATCCATAACCATCACTTTCTATCACACAGTTTTAGTGGCTTGTGTGTAAGCGAGATAGAAGACACGCAAAAGTTCAGTACTCAAATCTATTGGCATTAATTAGGTGTTTTCATTATAGATAAGAAACATGGACGATAACACACTAAATAAAGTTGAATTAAAATACAAAGGTCATTTAATATATGACCCACTCAAAGTATATTGAAAGTTACTAGTTTGTTGAGGTGTTTGGTAACGGTAGATGCTCGATGTTTACGACACAAAAAAGACAAGTAAATCAAACCGTATGTAAATGGAATGGGAGATAAAATTGATTGTATCTATATTTTCATGTAATTACAATGGCAACACTAGCATCTTCATAAAGTGCACAGTGCACGTAATGTATGAATTATTTGTCTTTATTGTTTTGTATTAGTGTTTGACACTTAAAGCGTTTATTACAGAAGTGTCGCAGCGACTCTGCATTATCTGTCGATTTTTCAAACTTTTTTTTATTACAATTGAGCAAACGAGTTGACGGAATAAGATGACCATGTAAAGACTGAACAGTCCCTCGCCTTATAGTGTCAACCAGTAAAAGAAAATTGCTCCGCATTATGGAAGTTTGCAATATGAAGGAAATTTATTACATTGACCAATCACGTTCCTCCTATACCTAAGGTCTAATGTGAGAAACATTCCTCTTTTCTCACGCTCTCATACTTCTTTAATAGCCGCATCCCACTCTCCTAAATCAAATACAACTTACACAGGCTGTTTAGCGGTTGTAATAAGTGGGACAATGGTACATGCAAAAAATTATGGACAATATTAGAAGGTCCTACATAATTTCCTACACAATGTAACTAAGAAATATAGAAAAGTTCAAGAAAATTTACAGATAATACACACGTTTCGATAGCTCAGTAGTAAAAGCTCTTAAGATTGTATCATCTGTTATCACACAGTTGCGTTGTAGTTGTAACATGTTGGATATTGTGATAATACAAAGTAAATAAGCACCCTGTAGCATCCTTGTAATATTCAGCAACGCGCATGTGACACCCCTGGTGTTCCTAGCGTACATAGGCTACGGTAACAGTTTACACACGGGCCGTATGTTTGCCAACGTCACAGTTTAAAAAAAAAACTTGTGTTACACACAAACACGCCTACACCACAACAAATTTCCTCGCGATCATGCTTATGAATTGTATTTTATTTTCACCGGTATAACGCCGCTATTTTAAAATAGGCCTATTTTATTAATGTTAAGAAAGTTTTAGGAATGATCTCAGTGTACACCGGCTTTTAGTATATCCGTCGCGTTTTGTTCCTTAGACTATAGTAATATCACACGGACTTTACTAAAAGCCGGCTAGTCAAATGTAGGGTTCTGTACCGGTGCAAGCTGATTGTTAATTCGTCTATACCGGGTGACTTTGCTGTTCGTAGACAATTGAAGCACTATAGAAAATTATTATGTGTTAAAATCAATGAGAGTAGAGATTTAAATCTAAAAGTACAGTAAGAATTACAAATCATGTGTTTTGTGTATGTGTATGTGTAGACGGCGTACGTTACTACGGAACCCGCTGCACATCTTATTTTGTTATAGTGACTAGGGCGAATTTGCCTAACGATGAGGGAGAAAGAAGAATATTTTTGGTTATCGTTAAAAGAATATATTAGTGCAAAGTTAACATTTTTTTTGAAAAATTTGAAGGATTATTTTAATAAATGAAAAAGCATTCAAATGAAAATGAAAAATAAATCTGTCTAATTAGTGATAAAATTAAAAATAAATGTTAATTAATTTCCTACATGGTCCTAGTGTTGCCGCATTTTTGTACACACGGCAAACAAAGTTACTCGGTATATTTATCCATGTATATTTTGTGGAAGTACCCAATAGAGCGTTTCGTAATCGCAGAGGCTAAATAAAAACCTAGTGTGGAACCCTCGGCAAATGATGAGTTGATGAGTGACGTACGAGCGGCCTGCGGCGGGCATCGGGCTGGCCGCAAGCGTTGAGGAGGCTCGACGGGGACGAGAATAACTAAGCCCCGTCTTTAGTTATAGACTTATATCATTATTTTTAATGTTTATCATACGCAAATGTAACAGTATTTTAGGCAAGTATAATCTAAATTTAAGTTTGACTCATGTTTGTATCATTGAATCGCCGTTCGCTATGACTGTCCATTGTAATATAATATTTTATATAGTATTGTTTTATATCGAAGATTGTTTAGGAAGGAAGTCGCGTCGCGTGTTCATTGAGTCTGACATTCGAAATATTCATATAGATGCAGTCCAGATGAGTGGATGGTAATGGTAGCTAATAACTTTTTAGAACAGTGTAATATTGTGAAAGTTAATATACACTCGATTCAATAGAAATAGTCATAAATTTAGCAAAAGTTACGGAGAATTTCAATCTAATAATATATACCGAACTAATCTGTAATTAAGTGATTATCCAATTAAAATAAAGGAAAATTTGAATGTAATTATGTACACTGTATTCATCTACAATTAAGTGATTATCCATCTGACATGTCTATATGGATTCATTTTGAATGACGGTCTTTAAATCGTGAAATGGCGGTTGCGCTCTGCGATGGCGTGTGGCGCCATTACGCCACGTCTAGTCTACGCGATTAAATTTAATAGCATTCACTAGCGAAGTCTCGATTCTGTCGATTTACAAAAACAATTTGTTATAGCTCTGAGAATCTTATAACGTGTTTAAAGTTCTAGTCCGCTAGATCATATCAATATAAATATATATTTGGAACCTTCAAGCCAAATAAAATGTTTTTAGTTTTGTATCAGTACACTTAATCAGAAATACTGACCTACTGAACATTGTTGTTTCTGAAAATTGACAGATGTTCTAGTGTTATGAGAAAACACTGGTGCATGCTGTTAAGGCGCTGAAACTCTTCCCGTAATGATCTCAAACGATAAAATAGATGGAGGGATAGTTAACATCGGAAGTGCCTCAGTATAATTCGTATATCGGCTCTGGAACAATATCAATAGAATGTATCATTATATAAAACTGCCTGTCATAGGGTTTTATATTTTTTTAAACGTAGTGGGCGGGCGCCGGGCCGCGGATAACGGTGTGTTGGACACAAACCGCTTCTGTGATGTTTTTGCTCTAGTGATATGTATATGTAACGCGGCGTGACGTGTCCGTTGTGCTAAATAAGGCACAAATGGACCCTAGTTGAGTAGAAAGCACTCAATCCACACAAACACAAATGTTGGAATGCAGCGATGAAGTAGAATAATGTATTTATATCAATAATTGATTATACACGTTTAGTTTTAAAAGGTATATCAAGATGAAAGCATGGTGGTGTACTTATGGCACTGAACCATATTCAACTAGAAGTAAAGTGGATATTTGAAAATATATTTTTTATTTTTAGTAACGAATTGATCGAAAACCATGCAATTTGTATGAACTTTAGAAATTGTATTCAATTTTTCATTTCATTCAGAAATTTGTTCAGTTTCATGAAGGTTAGCACTGTCTTTCGGCCTGGTATATCCTTTACGAATAACTGAGTATATATTATGTTACGAATTTCTAGACTTATTTGGGCTGGCGTATAACAGCTTAGACCGCATCATCACTTAACATCTGGTGACATTGCAGTCAAACGCGCTCAAATTTAGTTATAAAAAAAAGATTGAAACTCTTTTTATGGATTGAGTCCTTTCTACATAACTACGACCAAATAATGGAGCGTCCTCCGTCGCTGCGCCGCACATTTAGTGGCGGACCGACGCGAGATGCGAACGTTAAGTGAGATTATTCCTGTATGTATTTTATAGTATATTTTTGCCATTCATTTAGCGATCTGTTTTAACGTCAAAGATAATAATTGTATATAATATTAAGAGATGCTTGCCGCGTGGAACAGTAGGTAGCAGCGACGAAGTGTAATGGGGCGAGCTGCTTGCCTGCTTCTCTAACTAAATGACGGTTTACACTTTGTTAAGTGCAGGTATTAAGTGATTAGTTGATGGCTTATCTATGCTGGCAAGTATTTAGTGAAAACACTCTCAGATAACTTGTGTGATGTTCAGATTGGTCAAAGTGCTGGTAGTACGCGGGCGTACGAAAAAACACTAAATAGTAAAAATAGACCGCATTACGATTCGCTTTACTTCACACAGACACTTATCACAGCGTGAAATTTTACACGTTGTTTTTACTTAATACTTTACATCTCTACTTGGCAACTGGACTTAACACTTATCAAAGTGTAAACGGCCCATATCGCTATCTACTATGATATGAGTAAGGGAACTAGTTGTAAGTTACTAGCTTGTTTCTCGGTGAAGACGTGAAAACCTCTGACCAATTTGCCTTGGGTATTGTGTAGCCTTTTAGAATCTCGCAATCGAGACAAATCATGTATGGCGGTGCAAGTTAGCTTTCGATTTATAATTATATTTTATTATTGACTGTCTTTCGTTTCTCTATAAGTTTTGCGTAACTTTAGTCACTCTCCTTATCTCTTAGTGTTATTATCGTTAATTTTATATTTTATGTGATTATTAATGTGCTTTAGTTTGTGAGGTAATGAAAATTGCTGTTTGAAGTGCAGGCAACTTTTGTAGTTTCATTGTCGTAACGAATAAAGTCATAAATACTAATAAATTGGGTATTTTTATTGTACATAATTATCATTAGTCTCTACCTAGACCCTAAAAATTGCCTTCCTACATATTAGTCTGTTCCATTCACTTCTATTTCCAGGTATCCTATTATTTTCTCCCTTCCTAGGCGTTACCTTACCTAGCCAATATTATGAGCTTTTAAGCTTGTTTGAAACATCATCAGTGGCACTTGACGACTATAACTAAGAACGCTTGTCTAAGAAGGCGATTATATTGAGAGTAATGTGCTGATGATTTTTTTTTTTGAGTGTTGATAATGGAATGTTGCACCCGCCTGCGCTAACGGTTTACGCTGGCGGGGCACCAGTGGAGGATGATAAGATGAGCATGAGGTCTTATTCACCAGGTATTTAACACGATGGTTTCCAGGGGGAACCGCGTGGAGGTCGACCTGACATGGTACATTGCTAGCAATGGGGTTATCAATCCACATTACTAACAATCCCCTTCCCCCCTGTGCTGATGATTTATCACTGAGTTTCGGCTGAGGTATCGTGAATTCTAGTCTGGACACAAAAAACTGGCAATTTATATGTTTGACTAACTCTGGTGAAGGAAACGCCGATAAACTAGAAATGAAAAAGAGACGCCCCAGTATGTTTTGCCCTGCCAAGTTTTGTCCAAAATATACCGACCGAAATGTCCCCATATCAAATGTTGTGTTCACTATCATTGACAATTACCAATGTCTACGACTATCACCCCATCTGGTACAATAGTCGTAACAATATGTGTAGTCTTTAGTGACTTTACTTTGTATATAAGACCAAAAAAAATCAAAATCAAGTTTGCACTGTTTTCTATCACTAAAACACGCCTATATAATTTTTAGTTATTATATTTATAAACTAACAATTATTACGTAGTATACAATACACTAATTAATTTTGGACTGCCAATCAATTATTCGAATTTTAATACAGTCTCTGAAAAAAGTCATTAAAAACAACATTAGGCAATCTAGCTACATGTCAAAATTTTCATAGTTAATTTAAAATGCAAAGGGTATTTTATATTTTTAACTATAAAAATTTAAGCACTTAGAGCCGTGAAAATAATTTTTAAAACTTTAAACAATGGATATTTTTTTATCTGGCAACATTTACCAAATTGCCAAATATAAAAATTAAGTCAGTCAAGTTCAGTTTTCTGTCATTTTTAATTGAAAAATGGCCGCTTGAGGCCTCTAATAACACTCGTGTTTCAATGTATTGTATTATTCCCATTCCATAATTCAGTACATTTCTCGTTATTAATATAATTCGCCTGAATTTAACGAATTTTCTTTATTATATAGTGTAATAATTATAATATAGTTCTAAGTGTTAAATAGTTAAAATGGAAAACGAAAGAGATATCAGGCGTAAAAAACACAAACAGTCGGATAGAAGAGACGATAACGAATATCGTAGTGAACGCAAATCCAAAAGACCACGAACAAAATCACGGTCACCACACGATAGGCGCGACAGAGATATCAATCGTAAACGAAGGAGATCGAAATCAAGATCACAAGAGCGTCATGTTAAACAAGAGAAACAGAGCAACGATGCACAGAATGCACCTCAAAAGGACCCGCCTGTCCGGAAAGCGAAGGAGACAGACATGCTCAATACGCGAACCGGTGGGGCATACATACCACCAGCGCGACTCCGCATGATGCAAGCACAAATTACTGACAAATCTTCCATCGCATATCAGAGGCTCGCCTGGGAAGCACTCAAGAAGTCAATACACGGTCATATTAACAAAATCAATGTGGGTAATATTGGTATAATTATAAAGGAGTTACTGAAAGAAAACATAGTACGTGGTCGCGGTTTGCTTTGCCGATCTGTTATACAGGCTCAAGCTGCCTCACCCACTTTCACTAATGTATATGCAGCCTTAGTTGCAGCTGTTAACTCTCGTTTCCCGAATATTGGTGAACTCCTGCTCAAACGGTTAGTCATACAATTCAAAAGAGGTTTTAAGAGGAATGATAAGCCTACATGTATATCATCAGCATCGTTTATAGCTCATCTTGTAAATCAGAGAGTCGCACATGAGATACTTGCATTAGAGTTGCTGACGTTACTTGTAGAGACACCTACTGATGACTCTGTGGAGGTTGCTATAGCATTTTTGAAGGAGAGTGGTCAAAAACTCACAGAGGTGTCATCGAAAGGTGTAAATGCTATTTTTGAGATGTTAAGAAACATTCTACATGAAGGGCAGTTGGATAAAAGAGTTCAGTACATGATAGAGGTGATGTTTCAAGTGTGGAAAGATGGGTTCAAAGATCACCCGGCTCTGATTGAGGAGTTGGAACTGGTGCCGGAGGAGGAGCAGTTCACACATCTGCTGATGTTGGATGAAGCTACTGACTCGCAGGATATTTTGAGTAAGTCAAGTACATCTTTTTAAGGTATCTGTTTATGTATTTAATAAATATTTTGACTAATGAATTAGTGCTGGTTGGTTGTTTGTATTTGTACACATGTAAACCTACAATGAACTAATTTAAAACAGAAACAAGCTCAGCAACAAACATTTTTCTTTCTCCTTCTTATGATGAGATAGCTTTTTGAATGAGTGCTAGATAAAAAATAAGTATAACTATTCCAAAGTGCTTAAATAAATTTTGTAATGACCATGTCTCATGTTTATAGGCAATGAGTTTTACATGTGATAGGGGGAGGAGTCTATTTGCTTTAATTAATTTATTTCTTACTAGCTACTCATCCCGCATGGGTGTAGGTACATGTATTATATATAAACATTCCTCTTTAATCCCTCTATCTATTTAAAAAAAATGCTCCAAAATCAGTTACATAATTTTAAACATCTTAACAGACAGATAGTGACAACGACTTTTGTTTTATACTATGTAATGATATGTCTTTTTAAGGGTAATATCCAATTCTATACATCACATCTCGAAAGCATTCCAAACTGATGGTAGATTTGACATATCATAAGAGTCTGTAATAGACCTACATGAATAAAGATATTTTGATTTAGATTTCATTTTGATACAAATTCTTTAAATCTGATTACTAAATGTTCTATCTTTGATAAATCAATGCTTGGGAATCAATATTTTGAAGCAAAATATTAGTATATCAACCTTCTATGTCCTTTAATGATATTGATTAAAACTAGAAACAATATTTAATATATCAGTAAGGAAAGTAATCCCTTGAAAAAAATACCTTGTAAAGTATTTTGGGAATGTGTTAATTTCCTGTTTATTATTTATAACTAGAAATTAAAAAACATTTTGCATTTGAAATGCAATTTTCTTTCACATATTTTTACAAATAATTTATGAAGTCCCTGACTTCTGAGGTAGGTATAGAAAATATCTGTGTTTCAGAAGTCCTCTTCCATATTGAGGTGTACTTTAAGTGAATTTGTTTGGATATTTTACAATTTAAGTAGGTTGGTGTAATAGACCAAAAGTATTTGCAACTTCTGTTTATATACATTTTGTAAACTATTTTGTACACCTCAGTTCATCATTGCTTTATTTCAGTCTATGTAGCTACTGCATTAATTGCTTGATTAATTACAGATGTATTCAAATTCGATGAGAAGTATGAAGAGAATGAACAAAAGTACAAAACATTAAGTAACGAAATTCTTGGTTCTGATGCTGAATCTGGTGAAGAAGATGGCTCCAACGAGAGTGGCAGCGATGAATCAGATGAAGAAGAACCTGACAGCGAACAGAAGGGAGTAACCATTATAGACAACACAGAAACTAATCTAGTAGCGTTGAGGCGCACCATTTACTTGACTATAAATTCTAGTTTAGACTTTGAGGAATGTGCACACAAACTTCTAAAAATGGAACTGAAGCCAGGTCAAGAGGTGGAGCTGTGTCACATGTTTCTGGATTGCTGTGCCGAGCAGAGAACATATGAGAAATTCTATGGGCTATTGGCTCAGAGGTTCTGCAACATCAATCGAATGTATATTGGTCCATTTGAAGAGATCTTTAAGGATTCCTATGGAACTGCACATCGGTTGGATACAAATAGACTGAGGAATGTGAGCAAGTTTTTTGCTCATCTCCTGTTTACAGATTCAATCAGCTGGGAGGTAATGGAGTGCGTCAAGCTAAATGAGGAGGACACGACCAGCTCCAGTCGTATTTACATTAAGATTTTATTCCAAGAGTTGGCCGAATACATGGGATTGAAGAAGTTAAATGATCGCCTGAAAGATCCGTGAGTTCTGTTAATAGTTTCGTTCAATGTTTTATTTTTAAGCTTGAAATTAATGTTATATTTTCTTTTCAGGACTTTGCAGTCAGCATTTTCCGGTGTATTCCCCAGGGACAACCCAAAGAACACAAGGTTTTCCATTAACTTCTTCACATCTATTGGTTTGGGAGGACTTACCGATGAGTTAAGAGAACATTTAAAACAAATGCCAAAGGTAAATAAATACTTATTACTTTCTAAATATTTGTAATTTTCATGCTTAATTAATATAATAATTGAATTCCTCAATTAATAATATTGTAATATTAATTAAATGCTGTCAAAATTTATAGTAATAAAACTCATAAAAAATGTAATCTATTTATTGCAGAATGTGCCTGCCCCAATAACGGAAATCAATCTTGGCAGTGAGGAATCCAGTTCAGACTCTAGTTCAAGCTCAAGCAGTAGTTCAGATTCATCATCAAGTGACAGTGGTGAGTGTCACTTTGTTCATGGGTTCTCTGTATATTTTTTATTAGTTTAAGAATGAAATGATAAAGACACCATTATTCTCTGTGATTTCATATTATGGAGAATCTAGACTGACTCATGATTCAAGAAAAGACCATATTTTTCTATTTTTTTATGTTATTTATTTTAGGTAATCAACAGCTTATACAATTTAAAGACAAAATATAGTTTTACACAGTTAGCAAAGCCAATAACAGATATCTCATGGATTTATCTTTAATATTATACTTATATTTAAATTGGTCATTTAAAAACGATACAGTTAAACATTTAAATAGGTCAGAGCCAAACATAAAGGACAGGACAAGGAAATGATACATAATACTAATTTATGCTGAGATAGTATGTACTTTAAAATTCCTTCACTACATTATTTATATCACCAGCAATGAGACTAATTGTTTCAATTCTTTGCCTCTATGTATTGGTGTAGATGACAGGATGACGGATATTCTAATTATTAAACCATAGTTTACAATATAGTATATCTGGCAAAACAATTCTATTGAAATAACATCTCTTAACCACACACTGTATAATGTTAAATATTGTTTTATAGACTCTGAAGAGGAGAATATTGAAAAGAAGAAGAGCAAAAAGAAGAAAGACAAAACTCCTAAAACACCAGAAGTTGATGAATCTAATAAAAGTAAAAGTACTGAAAGATGGGGACATGATGGCTTCTACGATACATATGGAAAAGATGCGCGTAGAAAAGAAAACAGATCGGAAATGATAAACAGAGATGGCGATAATTTTGTGAGGCCTCGAGATGTAACACGGCGAAATGACGACAGTTTCAGAGATAGAAATTATGAGCATAGGAATACAGATAACCATAGGAGGCGAGATGAAAGGAATCACAGTGAGGACCCAAGAAATCGCAGTGAAGAGTCAAGAAAAAGTTCTGACGAAAGAGATGACAGATGGAAAAATAGAGATAGTAGACAAGGTGAATCTAGACGGAGAGATGATGAACGATACCGAAATAGCAGTCGTGAACATTATGACAATTCAAACTCACGAAGATATTCAGAAAGAGAACGAAATGATAGGCAACAAACAGAAGAAGAACCCAAGAGAAGAAATCGAGAAGAAAATGAAAACAGACGTCGAGAAAAGGAAGACAAACACAGAAGGTATACTGATGAGGAAGAACCAAAATCAAGAAGTAATTCAAAGAGAAATGAAATCAGTAAAAATGATGATAGAAAACGCGAAAAGGAAAGTAGAAAACAAGATGACAGAAGTAGTGATAATATAGACAGGCAAAGAGAAAGCCATCGCCAAACAAATAAAGAGGATTCGTATAAACGACAGGAAAAAGAGAGTAAGAAAGATGATAGAAGAGAAGACAGAAAACGCTATAAAGATAACAGTGATGAAGAAAATGCCTATTCAAATAAAGAAAAGAGAAAAAATGATACTGATCTCTCAAGAAATAAACGAGTAGACAAAGGTGATTCAGATACTGAAAGCCATGACAGAAGAAAGCGCAATAACCGTAAATCTAACTCAGATGAAGAAGAAACTAGTGTCCCGAGAAGTTATTGGGAAAATGAAGACTCCTGGAGTGTAAGAAAAGATAAAGAGCGAGACTTGGGCGCGCGTTATTGGGAAACAAGAGCAGAAATGAAAACTTAGTATTATACCTAGGACCCATTAGGATTATTTGTGACTGGAGTTGTATAAAATTTTACAGTGTACATAATATAACTGTATTGTATATTATACATGATGGATTTGGAGGTCTCCAAAACTTTAGAAATTAATAAAATTGTGTATTAAAAAATTTCTTTTAATTAATTAAATAAGACTTAATAATAAACTTTTAGTCATGGATATTTTTGATGGGTATGGGTAAAATAACGATAATTTATTTGTTCAGTTTTAACAATTTTCCAGTGAAAAACTCATACTTCAAAATAAACATTACATATTAATTGGTAGGTTCTAGTTCTTCAAAAAGCCAATCTGAATTTATCAAAAAAAAACAAGAATATGGCAAGACACTAGCAAAACAGGATCACGATCTGGTCTCCACGTTGGCTATCTAAGAGGCAGCCTATCAATTACACAAAATGACACTTACATACAACCTTACTAAATAAGTTTGACATCACATATGATAACTAAAATCGGGACCATTTGTCAAGTACTCATAAAATTTAATAGGCGCTTACAGCTCAAAATGGAAACGTTACTTGACTACCAAAAGAGTGCACTAATCAGTGGCATCTCAAAAATTCATATAAAAGCTGCATCAACTCCTATAATAAATTTGAAAGATGGCGAAGCGCCTCTGAAGCCACATACATCTGCACCTTCATATTTCCAGTCCTTGAAAGAGAATGATGCGCCACCATTTGTAAAACCAGGACGGGAAGCCAGGCCTCAGTTGTTAATTAATACCGTAATGAGTGAGGCCGAAGCTGTGGAGATGATAGCAGCCGCTGATGCGGATAGATATAAAGGATTGAAGAAATATCTTGGTTATTATGTTTTTTTAAATGATATTTTATACAGAACTCTTCTTTTTCACCGTCTGGTTTTCATAAGAAGGATTTAGGGAAAGGGTAAAAAGTCGTCTATGTGGAGAAAGTAGACGATTTTTGTAGTAAGTACCTATTTTTGTTCTTCAGTCAGTAAGCAGTTTTCTTTAAACTCTGTTTCGGTTGAAAATAGATAACACGGTGAAATTATATATATAATATATTTTTATTTATTTCTCCTCACAAACATTGTACACAGCTATTTTTTTATACTTTATATATACATATACAGCTATTATGCATGTTTATACGGCCCACCAAGCATTTCGAAAATATAATTATTTTTTTTACTTTCTCGTATCAATATATTGTTATAATATTAATTATATGAAAATGGTAAGCTAATCTAATCCGCAATCTTTTTTTTCTGACGAGTTTCTCACTTGTTAGCTACTTGTTCATACATGCAATACGAACGCGCCGCGTCTGCGGGAGCTTTCATTTTGCATTTAAATTTATGTATGAAATGTTTACTACTTTTTTTACTTTTTTTATTTTATTTAGAATATTCACTATAATTAAGTTTTATCTATTATTAATAAGTGTTACTTCACATGGACGATCGTTGCAAGGCATTGGATGAGAGCAGCGCAGGACCGATCGTCATGGAGATCTTTGGGGGAGGCCTATGTCCAGCAGTGGACGTCTTCCGGGCTGCGATGATGATGATAATAATGACTTCACATGCGGCCCGCCAGTTATAAAATTTAAATTGGTCCGTTGCTCACCCCTGATGTACAGGATAAGAGGCAAAACATCTTATCCTACTTATAGCCACGCATTCTGTTATTACGTAGTCTATTTAATTATTATAATGGATGAGTGCAGTATATTTTGTATCCATATTATCCAATATTATTGTCTTTAACATTCCCTTTGCATTTTAGGTTCATTTTTAGTTCAAAAGAAAATAGTAGCTAACAACCATTTATCTGAAATCAATTTCCTGATAAGCTTTCTAATAGAGACCATAGACTATGCCGCGCAGCGTGACTTCAGTGCATTCAAACTTGCTTGTTTGCTTACTATATATTTGAAGACCCATTTGTACTTCAAGTGGTACTACTGGCTGCCGCCAACAGCTGTGTGGCACTACTTCAAAGAGATCATGATACGACACACTATTGAGGTAAGATCGAGTTAGTTGGCAGAGCAGTGCGCGCCATACCATTTTTCCATTTCGAAAGATATCATTTTTTTTTATGGTTTACGCTGCCGGGGCACCAGTGGAAGAAGATACTATGTACATGAACTCAGGTAGATAGCTCATCAATTTTAGCAAATCGCAATTTACCACGTTGGTTTCCTTGTGGAACCGCGTGGAGGTCAACCTAGCCATCTTAATATATACAACTCAAAGGTGACTGACATAGTGATCTATCAACGCACAGCCCGAACCACTAGACGGATTGGGCTGAAATTTGGCATGCGGGTAGATGTTATGACGTAGGCATCCCCTAAGACAGAATTTTGATAAATTCATCCCCTAAGGGATAAATAAACCAAGCGAAGCCGCGGGCAAAAGCTAGTGGTATATAAATGTATATAATTGGTATTATAAATTCATATATCATCAACTAAACATTAAGATACACATACCTACCTATATATGTACATATATATAGGTATGTGCATGATTGGATTCATTACAGTAGTTTAATATTTATTTCATTTTAGGACTCGCCTGATGGTCAAGAAGTATTTGAGCCCGAGGAATGTTACGACATCATAACTCATTTCCACACAATGTACCTGACCAACTTACCTCTGGTGCATATATTGACATTCGGAGCATACAGACTGAAGCTCACGTGGCCATTTAAACCCAAATGAGTCTAGTTTCTCATTAACAAACAATGAAAATATTAAAATAGTTATTTATTTTCATCCGTTGATTAGTTTTAATCCAGGTCTAATTCTAGTGGCAAACGCTAGGATGACAGCGAGGTCAGCTGGCTCGTCATGACAAATTCAATTTCCAAGGTACACGGTTCAATTTCCTTAATACTATGGTTTCCTGTTAAAACCACGTGGAGAGAGTCATGGAGAAATCAATCCCCATTTCCAGCAGTTTCCTCCCTTCCTTACCAAGGCAGTTGTGAAACGCGATATATTTAGAAATGAAACCATGTTCTTGGGCAATCTGGCAATAATAGATTAAATGCTCTTGTTAAGGGTTGTAATCATGAACTATTGATATATAAACTTAGGAATATCATGGGACTTAGCAAGAGCTCCACCGAGCGCTCTGAATGATACAATTTTTATAGATTTATACATATATAACAATACTATATATAATAATACTCAGGGCTGCACACAATTCACACAGCGCCATCTAGTACCAGGTTAAGCAGAGCTTGTTTCATTGATACTAGAAAACTAATAGAAATACATGGATACAAACAATCATACCTATCAATATAACTGTTTATACAATGCAAGGAATCGAACCCGCGATCATTGAAGGTAAGGCGGTGTGCTAAACTGCTAGTCGAGAGGTTGTTGTATGTACATATTCGTATATATACACATATGGCTCTTTGCGAGTCATTCATTTTTACAGTATTTTAAAGGTAAATTATAACACTAAATAAGCATACTGAGCCCATCTGATGGTAAATAGACTTTGGACGGTTGAAATAATAAGCACAGATAAGGAAATAAAAATAATATATTCAAGAAATCATTGCTTTTGCACATGTTTTGGTAATTTGTTCTTATTTCTTTTTCTAACTTTGCCACAAGCTGTACCTGGGTCCTTCTTAGCTACTACCTGTTGGCCTGGCTTCTTTTTTTTCTTTTTACATGACAATGGATTAGGGTTGTGTGTCTTTTTCTTTTTGGGTGGAATTTTAACATTTTCCACTTTTTCTGCGACTCCTAGAGCTTTTTTCATAGATTTCAATGTTTTATTTTGTGTTTCACTGATGAATATGTTATTTGTCTGTAGAGATTGACCAGCATTATCATAACTTGCTCTGGATGGTTTATCAAGTGTTGGAGACTTGTTGTGGAAGTACAGAAGTGGAATTCCAGCTCTTGTTCTGAGTGCTTCTTGCAAATCTCTGTCCTGTGATGCTAATATGTAATGTTTCTCATTCCTCTTGCCAATCATAGACAAAATACATTTAGCCCCACTAATTGGTTCTTTGTGGTCACATTCGTGTATACCATACTGTTTTAATATTGTCAGAGCACCATGAGCTTTCTTAGCTATTTTCTCAGTTTCTACAATGATACATCTTGTGGTCAGCAGCTTTACTTGAGAATTGAGATATTTTGGTATCTGTTCTCTGATATTTATTTGTTCCTAAAACAAATGCAATTTGTAATGTGAAAAATACAGATATTATATTTACAAATTGTTATAATGGATACATGCTTGTTTTTGTTTGATTTAAGATTATGATTTCATTGATTTTTCTTATATATCTGAAACGGGTGTACCGATTTTGAGAGGACTTTCACTCCCAGACAGCCAATATTATAAGAAGTAAATTAGACTTATTTTTTTAATAAAAAATTGATTAATTCCATGCGGATGAAGTTGTGGGTAACAACTAGTTAGTTATAAATATTTCAGTAAAAAGGTTATTAAAAAACATGAATACCTAGTTTTGATTACTGCTCGCTGGCTCAGGGAAGTTCTCCTGCCATCTCATACTTTGCTCTTTGAGGGTGAGATGCGAGTCAGCACTGTCTGCTTCAGGGTCAGGCAACTCCTCCAGTGGGACTTGGATGTCCTCGTAAGGCAACTGCTCCACGCGCCACTCATCATCAACTATATCAATTAGCCGACCAACGCGACAGTACTTGCTGTCCATTCTGTGACAGTGAAATTATAAGATGATAACAAATTATACTCAATAATGGTACTTCATCAGTATTTTATACGCATATTATGCTTCTCATGCATGTAGGAGGCTATAATTTGCCACGAGAAGACCCATCAGCTTATTGACCAATTGATTTACAATAATTTTCAATGTATTTATGTTTCTAAGATGTAGCAGTAATCAAAACTGTGTATTCTCTATTTTAAAAGTAAGACTCACTTTGAAGGCACTAAAACAGAATGTGCCGTCCACCAAGATTTGGTAGGGCTGGTGGAAACCATAATTATTGTAGTAGAATTTCATATATTTCTGCACTTTCTTGTACCTTGTTATCTTCATCTTGGATAGCTATCTATATTTGAAGTTTGTACAAACCTGTAGCAAGACGAAAGAGAAATAGGCTTGTTTATCCTTGGTTAACGTTAATTTTATACAGTAGTAGGTATATATTTGTACCAGAGTTGAACCAGAAAGAGTAAGTAAATATATGTAATTTACTCTAGCAAGTAACAACTACGTTTTAGTTGTGTATTTTTAATGTAACTCGCTAAAAATATATTACGTTGTTATGAATTAAAATTGGTTGTGAAATTGAATGATTTCAATGAATTCTATTGAATGAATTTATTTTTTTTATTATCCTCATCCTTCAGGAAAGGCAAAGGGAGCTATGGCCATAAGAATGAATTAAAATAAATGAAACTGTAGTTAACTATTGTATCAATGTAATGTGAGTTAAAATAAAAACTAATAAGGCAAAAGTATATTGATAACTAAAAATGCATCATAATTTTTATATTCTATTTTAGAATATAAAAATTATGATGCATTTTTATGATAATGTAATACGGCTTTTCATGGGTTGCCAATCCTTAACCACATGACCACATTGTGATGACGTTGCATTGCTCTACTATATTGTGAACGTGACATACAAAATACAGAAAAATGCAACGCAGTATTTCGTGCTTACTCTATTCTATATTCTTAGTAAAAAAAACAAATACTTATTTTTATGTGTGAAATATATAATAAAGTCATCACTTTATTGTATATTTTACACATAAAAGTAGGTCATCACCTAAAACTTTCAAACTTTTCTACCATAGTGTATACAGATATTTCTTATCTACATGCATGACGTATACTCTTTACCATAGGCAATATTTTTTTTGTGAAACGTCTTGCTCGCTCGCTCTCTCGCTTCCATGTTTGTTCGTGGTAATTTCGCATTTGAGTGCTAGATTTTCTAGTTTATCGTGTAAAAATTAGTGTTAATAACTATTTAAGTGTGTAATTAATGATATTGTCGGCATCACGGCGACCTCGTGAGGATTTGTCGCCCGAGGAAAAGTGCATATCGGCGATATAATAACAGGGAGGGTACGTCTTTCATATCCAATTTAATCCAGTAAATGCGTCATTTTAATTATTATTGTTGTACTTAAAGTGAAAACTATAATGTCCATCCCGGTGCAACTTTAAGCTTCTAAAAACAAATATCCGTACATGTAAAGGCTAGTTTCTGTGCAGTTTTTATGACCTCCAGCTGATTCGGAGGAGGGCGTTTTAATGAGCAATTTTGAGTGGTCATACTGGAAGGAAACGTATGTGATAGATACAGACGCAGTTAGTCATCATCACGCGCGTTTACTAAACATGTAAATCAAAATCAGCGATTGTAGGGCAGACGAGATATGTCCGCAAAAAATGTATTAGATATATGTCACCATTGTACCTTTTGTTTCTTTGTGATTTTGCGGCGATACGCACGCTAAGATAACATGTTCTTGTTTACCGTATTGTAGCGAGTCGTCTATTAAATTCATTGTTCTCATAGCTCAAGGCTCTATTGACTTTGCTTCCAGTGTTCTTAAAAAAATAACTTTAATTTCTAGTTGATTGGGTTCATTACTATGCACAAATTGTTGCTTTGTTCATCATTACACTAAAGTAAATGTTTGCAAACTGTTTCTGTTGACCTACTGACAGGTAAGTAGTGGCAATCTCAAATAACCAATTTCCTGATTTAGTTATTAATAACCAATGTTAATTTGTTGTGGCCTAGTGGTTATATTTGGATTTAGATTTTATTTTTCTATATTCATTATTGTCATTTTATAGTAAGTTACTGTTGTTCTTGATTATGATCATTCTTTTTGAATTTGGAAGCTATAACACCTCAGAATTTTTGATTTGAATTAGAATTAATTTAAAACTATGATATATTAATAAATTATTTGTAATTATGTATATAACCTTCAATCAACTCTAGTCCATAATTAAGCAGAAGTTTTTATGGGTAAAAATTTACTATGGGTGTTAAACAACTAACAGAATGTTTTAAGTCCATTTATTTTGTAAATAGATGCATAATGTGCATAGAAAACACCCAGAACAATACAAACAGATATACATTAACACATAATGTTTGTATTGTGCAAGATTCAAATAATAATTGAAAAGTAAGTAGAATAGTCTATTTGTATGTAAATAATTATGTTGAATGAAATTGTGTGATAGTAAATTTAATATAGACAGTACAGGAAATTGATAATTATTTATAGTCTTGTATTTTCAGTTGCATGAATGAAATACAGTCAGTTTATATCAGTATTGTCTAGGAACGAAATTGTTTTGGTTTCAATTTGCTTTTGGTAGAGAATTTCTCATTCTAACTGGATTCCAGTAAGTGTTAATGTTATTTGGTACAATTCTATTATTGATTAATTTAAGAGATTTATTAATATGTTGTAAATTACAACAGTATTTATAGCAATAATACATTGTTCTAGTATAACATAATGTTATATTTATTTTTTACAAATATTTTAAATATAGTTTGTGAGTGTGGATGGATGTTTGTTACTCTATTGTGCAAAAAATATTGAATGGATTTTAATGAATATTTACAATAATATAGTATGTTGTAAATTACAACAGTATTTATAGCAAGAATACATTGTTCTAGTATAAATAATGTTATATTTATTTCTTACTAATATTTTAAGTGTGGATGTTTGCGAATGTGGATGAAGTGTATTACACATGTATGTAAAACAACTGAATTTATTTTAATGTAACTGTACAATAATACTACTTATATATCAGAATATCACATAGTAAAAAAATTCATGCGGGTGAAACAGCAAGCTAGTATCATGAAGTTTAATGTCACCTTGTAAGTTTGTTTGTAGATGATACATATTAATGTCTTGCTTTTGGTTTGTAATATGTGTAAATTTTAGAGATACATTTAGAGATTTAGAGTATGTTTTAATATCATTTAACAGCTATTATTTTTATTTTATATCTTTTACTTATATGGATATTATTTTCAAGTTTTTTTTAAGAGTTGTTTGTGTTCGGGTACAATTACAGTACTGGTACCTTGTACAGTTTGTGCCCTTACATGTTTATGCCCTTACATCTTTTACTATTAATTTACTATAATTTTAAATGTAAATAACATTGTGGGTTGTCAGGATTTGTGTTGGGGGATGGTAATAATGCCCCTTTATAGGGGTCAAAATAATTTATCCCTATCAACTGGCAACTTTAGTTAAAAAAGAACTGGTGGGAAGTTCATCTGGTAGATTATGTTATACTTTTTTAAATTAGTTTTTTAACATAGAGTGTATGTGTTTAACATATTAAATATACTGAATATCCTGTGCCTGCTTAACTGGGACCATACACAGTCATCTCCTAAATAATCATGAGTAATAATTTACAATGTAAAACAAAAGTACCTATTATTATTGGCCAATAAAACAAGATGATTTAAGGCACTCTCTTATATTATACTTTATTATTCTTCAACAAACATCCAAGATAAGGGTATATGTAAAGTTTATTGTCTTAAAGAGAACTATTTTATTATTAGTGTTTTATAAATGTCATATCTAAAATTCCATTTATTATCTACATTGATTACATTAAAAGTAAAGAAAGAATAAACATACATGTTCATTCATTTGATTAATAACAATTCTATATGGCAATACAATATCCGATTTGTATGCAGATTATTTATACACTGGATATATGATGTAATAAGAAATGAAATGTCTATGGTTTTATGTGACCTAATGTTAACATGTGCCTACATTTTTGTGAATATATCATTTATCTGAGTAAGTAAAGTAAAAGTAGGTAGTTTTAGCTCTGATGAAGGCAGCAACAACATCAATCGGATGTCATTTACATAATTTGATTTCATATAACACTTTAGGAATAATCTTAGTTGTAATCATAGAAGAACATCAAATATTGACCTCGTTCAAAGCCAGGGTGGGTTGCTAGTTACTAACAATTTCCTTCCTCCAATAGAATAGAATAGGAAATCATTTATTCAAATAAACTTAATTTAAGTACTTTTGAATAGTCATAGATATCATTCTTTTAACCTACAGCTCATTCAAAGCTGTCTCATCTCAAGAAGAATGAGCAAGAAACTTAAATAATAATTGTAACTTTTCATTCTTAATTCGAAACGTGTGAATATAAACTAATATATTTATATTATATGTATATATATATATGTTGCTCCCAGGATATGGCTACAAACAGAAGCGGGGCGGCGCAGCGGCCGAATGGCGCTCCACAGACGAAGGTGTGCCAATTCAAACTGGTGTTACTAGGGGAGTCCGCGGTGGGCAAGTCGTCGCTGGTGCTGCGCTTCGTGAAGGGACAGTTCCACGAGTACCAGGAGAGCACGATCGGCGCCGCCTTCCTCACGCAAACGGTGTGCCTCGACGAGACCACCGTCAAATTTGAGATATGGGACACAGCGGGACAGGAGAGGTCAGCCTCTTTTTATTACATCTAAAATCTGCTCCTGAACTTAGTTCCCGTTAGAAATATACAGAATATTTCTATTTCTATTCAAATAAACTCGATACAAGCACTTTTGAATACTCATATTTTTTTATTCTACCACTCAATCGGAGCAAAGACTCATCACAATAAGAATGAGAAAGAAACTTGTGATTTGCTCTTTTAAATAGATTTTTTTAAAATAAATAATTACCTAATAACAGGTAAGGGGCATGGTAATCAACATAGAAATCGCTACGCACTCATTATTAGTGCAATCAGATAATATAGTCAGCGCTATGAATTTTAAGTTTTTTTCTACAAATTAATCATTTACAAAGTCTTAAATTTTATAATAAACCTTTTTTACAAAAGAAGTGTTTTATACGTCATTTGAATCTTTTTTCAGGCAGATTTAGAACAGACTCTGGTAGTTTGTTGTAAAATCTTATGCAATTGTCATAAAATGAATTACTTTAGTTAAACGGCATTTAGGTAAAATTAGTTTGTTATTATTACTTAAACTTTTGTTAGTGTAAACACTAACTCTTTGTGAGGGAAATCTCACAACAAACTAAATTAATACGATATATATAGGTGGTTTAATAATTGCGACTCTGAAGTGGCAATAGCTCGTAGGACAGATGGCCGTTGGGGCAGTAAAGTCCTCGTTTGGCGACCACGGACCGAAAGACGCAGCGTGGGAAGGCCTCCAGCAAGGTGGACCGACAATCTGGCCAAGATCGCTGGAAGGCATTGGATGCGAGCAGCACAGGACCGATCGTCGTGGAGATCTTTGATGGAGGCCTATGTCCAGCAGTGGACGTCTTCCGGGCTGCGATGATGATGATGATATAGGTGGTTCGCCCCCTGCCACGTTGGATTCATGCACCACGACTTTGACAATCGACATTGCCTCTGATTCCTCAAAATATTTACATCTCATTGTTAATTTCTTCATTTCTAAATTAACTTCTTTCAAGTGATACAATATTTTGACGGATTCGTTGGTCTAGCGGTTCAAGATACCGTTTTACTTCCGATCGGCACGGGTTCGATTCCTCGCACGGTACAAACTATGGTATATTATGTATGTATTTTCAAATAAGATATATCTTAAGTATATCTACCGGTTGTCTAATACCCATACCCGTTTTTTACTACAAGCATATGAATATAAATACTATATACATAAACCAAAATAACTTTTTTTTACAATTTTTGTCTGCCTGTCTGACATACTGCGCCGACCCCAAATAATGCGATAAAGACAAGGCAATGATGATGTCTGCCTGTCTGTCTGTCTGTTTGTTCCGGCGAATATAGTCCTGTCAAAATCGGTCCAGTCAAAGATATGGTCATTGGCTGGACCGATTTTGATGGGACTTTTTTTGCCAGGTAGCTGATGTCATAAGGAGTAACTTGGCTACATTTATTTTATTTTAGAAAAATAAAGTAAAATTCCACGCGGACGAAGTCGCTGGAACAGCTAATCTGGAATAAGTTGAGATGTAATTAAAACAGATGGACCATAAAAAGTTCACCTCTTTATCACCAAATTCTGCTGACATTTCGCTTGCAGAGGAGACGATCTGTCATGGTACTTTAATGGATATCTTATCTTGTCGGCAGCGCCATAGGAAATCGGACGTCTTTCTGGAATTCTTACTTTTGCTTCTACAATTATCTTTTCTCTCGCTCACACCCATGTCCATCATACGTCTCCTTCAAATCAAATCAATTCAAAATATGTTTATTTATGTAAATCTATTACAGACTCTTTTGATATGTCAAATCTACCGTTAGTTGGGAATGCATTCAAGATGAGAAGAACTGACAAGAAACTCAGCTCGTATTCTTTTCAAATATGGTTGTGCAATAATACAGATTCATTTTTAAATTCAAATTTGGGAGAATAGAGTGACCACCAGCATATGCTATAGCAGTTTTGTCAAAGGCAAATAGTCTGTCTAATCAGTGTTCGTAACCCGAACAGACCAGCATCATCCATAAGCAGCATCCGTTCACGAGTATGACGGATGAGGCAGATAATACGTTTTCTTTTTTCTTTCACACAATACGTTTCGATACCTTATACTCTACTACTATAAATAATCCTTTACAACCCTAATATACGTGAAGATACGTGCGCCGTCAGTTTGTTTTCAAGTCAACTTGCATAAAAAAATCTCAGTCCACTTCTGAGAATGTGACAGTAAATATGATTAGTAATGAATTTACGTGTTGCTTTGTCGCAACGATTTTTGCATTGATCAGGCTTCACGGCTTGAATGAACTCGTGACAACCGCGTGACGTAACCTTGCCAGTACTGTACATGTGAGTCATACAACGGTCCATAAATTCCATATTTGAAAACATCGTGACTTAGTGGCTTCACTGGGTCGGCAGTTCAAAACTGACTGACAATAGAATCTTTATTTCTGAACGAATCACTAACAAACCATAATAGAACAACCCATCCCATAGATCCCCCCCGACGGGGATCGAAATTACGAGCCTGTGCCGAGGTGCGAACCCCTAGTGGTGCTATTTAGACTAAAGTTGTATCCGTCCGACAGGAGTTGGCCTTCAGCCGCGGGTTAGGAGTGGCTTCTGCACTCCCCCCCCCCCCCCTTCGTGCTGTGAAACTTAGGGCCTTAGAATAGTTAAAAAAAAATAGTCCTAGAAACGGCGGTAGATGGGCATTACCCACATTTCATGTCTAGCCCACAGAAAGATCAAGTGTTGCGTTCATAACAAACGCAATGCCGTGAAAAAGGCCTGGTGAATTTGTCACGATGGGTTTACTGACCTGACCTCATGCTTATTTTATGATCCTGCACTGCTGCCCCACCAGGATATACCGTTAGCGCAGGCGGGTGTACCATTCCATTATCATACATTTAAAAAAGAAAGGCAATGTAACATAATTTAAATTCAATTTAATTACCCCATATGCTATTACAGTCGTGAAGTTGTATATATAACTTCAAATAAAAACTATGAGGTGTGGGAATAAACCATTAATAACAATAGACAATAATGTATACATATAAATAAAATTGTAGTGTCTGTTTGTAATATTGAAATAACCGCTTTTTACTACATGCATATGAGAATAAATATGGTACATACACCAAAATAACTATTAAAAACAAAATTAAATTCCACGCGGACGAAGTCGCTGGAACAGCTAGTATATAATATATAGAAAACACCGAGACTGATACAAAATCATACTCACGAATATAAATGTTTGTACCATGCGGGTAATCAAACTCGCGGTCATCAGTAGACCGGTATACTTAATCGCTAGACCACCGAGGCCGTCAAAGTGTATCACTAGAGACTGTTCCGCTCTGAAGTAACCTTTGTTCATAATTTGATTAATTAACAAAAGCCAAATGTTGCAGGTATCACAGCTTAGCGCCGATGTACTACAGAGGCGCGCAGGCTGCTATTGTTGTCTATGACATCACCAATCAGGTAAGCATTGCTCTTTTCTTTATTTATTTAATAATAGTAATCTCAGGACAATTCACACAGCGCCATCTAGACCCAAGTTAAGCTAGCTAAAGCTTGTGTTATGGGTACTATTATATACTATATTTTGTATATACATACATATTATACATAGAAAACACCCAGACAGATTTAAACAAACATACTCATGAATACAAATGTTTGTGCCGTGCGAGGAATCAAACCCGCGACCATCGGTAATAAAGCGGTGTGCTAGACCGCTAGACCACTGAGGTCGTCATATTTGGGCAATTTACACAGCGCCATCTAGTACCAAGCTAAGCTGAACTTGTGTTACGGGTATTTATTTCTTTCTTTATTGGGATAATACATACAGCGCCATCTAGTCCCATGCTAAGCAGAGCTTGTGTTACGGATATTAGACAACTGATATATATGTACAGATTGTTTTAACTTTCGTAAATATTTTTTCTTTCTTTCTTTATTTGGATAATTTATACAGCGCCATGTAGCCCCAAGCTAAACTGAGCTTCTGTTCTGGGTACTAGACAACTGATATAAATGCTTACATATTTTTTTAAATTTCGTAAATAATTTTTCTTTCTTTCTTTATTTGGATAATTCATACAGCGCCATCTAGTCCCAAGCTAAGCAGAGCTTGGGACTAGATGGATGGAGGGTACTAAACAACTGAAATGCTTAATGCTTAAACTTAATGATTACGTATTTTGCATACACATTGCATAATAAGATATATCCTCAGTGATCTAGCGGTTGAACACGCCGCTTTAATTCCAATGGTCGCTGGTTCGATTTATAGCTCAGTACAAACATTTTGTATTAATGAGTATGATTGTTTGTATCGGTCTGGGTGTTTTCTACGTATATTATGTATTAACAAAAGAAAGTGTATCTATATATTTCTATTAGTTGTCCGTAACCCAAGCTCTGCTTGGGACTAGATGGCGCTGTGTGAATTGTCCTGAGATTATTATTATTATAACATACATGAGATACAGAAAAAAAACTATGAATTAATAAAAGAAATGTAGTTGACTCTTGTATGTGCCGCAAAAGTGAAACGGCAGCCAACTCAGCATATGTTAACTAGCCAACTAGCAGTTGTTCTGTTGGCTCCTGTACTTATAATACTATACTTATTAAAAAAAATACATATGTATTAAACTTCGAGCTCTTTATCAAAATAAACTACTTATACTACATGAATAATAAGGATTACACTTATATTGAATGAAAGGCTCCGTGGGACTGATAAGATGGCGCAAGACAACTACTACTGTTTACGGACTAAGTTGGATAAGCAGCTGATTAGTTCACTGAAGTAATTTTTTAGTTGGTTTTTAAAATTCACTTTAGTTTTTATTAAACACTAGCTGTCCCGGCAAACGTTGTTTTGCCTTAAAATAAAAAAAAAATTGTTGTGGACTACCCCTAACATTTAGGGGGATGAAAAATAGATGTCTCAGACCTACTCAATACTCTCACAAAATTTCATGAGAATCGGTCAAGCCGTTTCGGAGAAGTATGGGAACGAAAACTGTGACACGAGAATTTTATATATAAGACAATAATTACAAAGTTGAAAAAAAAAAAGATTTTCTGTAACAGTATTTATGGTCAGACTGGTTAGATTTGCTCACTTTACGTATCAGCATTTATAGGTTTAATGAAACTAATTTATAAAGTTATATTTATGGGATAACGTCAACGACCTAATATAATTCAATTTACATGAGTTATGGTCACGGAAAGCAGCCCAAGGCTCGCGATGGTGACGGCAGGCTCACGTGGCGTGGCCCATGAAACACACTCTAAATATGTTTTATTATTTATTTTAGTTGTTTCAATCCCCGATACAAACATTTGTATCCATGAGTATGATTGTTTGTATTGGTCTGGGTGTGTGTGTTTTTTTTATGGATGATAATGGAATGGTACACCCGCCTGCGCTAACGGTTTACACTGGCGGAGCACCAGTTGAGGATGATAAGATGTACATGAGGTCAGGTCAGTTAGCACATCGTGGCAAATTCACCAGGAATATATCACGATGGTTTCCAGGGGGAACCGCGTGGAGGGCAACCTGACATGGTACATTGCTAGCAATAAGATCATCAGTCCACATTACTAACAATCCTCTTTCTCATTGTTCTATGTATGTACTTACAAAAAATGTGTTTAAATATTTAAATTATTTATTTATTTATTACATCACACATCTCAACACAATAAAAAAAACGATGGCGACAGCTGCATATAAATTATTATATAAAAAAAAACCGTAAATAAAAATAATTCATTAAATTAGGGATGAAATCATTATATACAAAGAAAAAAAAAATAATAATAATAATAATAATAAATAAAAGAACAACATAGTAACAAACCAATAATAATAATAAAGTAAAAAAATGCATTTCCTATCAACCACTGCAAAGATTTTGTTTTGAGCATCGATAAACCGCGTCACTGTGTACTGATGTGTGTGTATTAGATTCCATCTCAGCATTATGCCATGACAAAAGCCACACGCTGATTTTCAGTGGAACCCTGAATATGTGATTCACGGAAAATGTGCATATAATATAATTAATTTAATACAATATCATATATAATAGACTACATACATAGTTTAAAGGGTATTTATAAATAAATAGAATATGTCTGTGTGGATTACATGATTCAATAGCTTATTTCATAGTGAGTGAACGAGTAACCAAAATATTAAATGAAGAAACTGTATAATTAGAGATATGCAGGCACAAATAAAGGGGGTGTAAATGCGAGGTATGTCTAGCAGTTACTACTATATAGGACATATAATTATATTGGATATTATTGACTATTATCAACTTGTGTTAAAACTATAATTCCTGACTCAATAATATCAATTTATACTTAGTTTTAAAAGTGTACAATGTCTTAACGCATCGCACAGGGGGGTTAATTAGTTAGTTAGTTAGTTAATTAGTTATTGGTTAGTTAATTAGTTGTCTAGTACCCATAACATATACACTGCTTCGCTTGGGAGTAGATGATGCTGTGTGGTTTGTTCAGGGTTATTATTATCCTTATGCTATAATAACATAATCTCTGCTTATCTTGGCACTAGATGTGGCTGTGTAGATTGTTCATAGTTATAATTATTTTCCTATATACTTAGTAGTTATGGTATTCTCCCTTTGGTGGGGGTAGACTTGAACGTGGCGAAAGTCACCAAACCACGACCTATGAACTATACAAGTAAACGATTATGAATAATTTTTTTATATTAATATTATTATAAATAGGTACGAGTGTATAAATTCTATTCTATACAGCCATACGCAAAGATTTTGCTTTATGCTATTTATAGATAAACAGTTTTACAATAGCTATCACCAATTGATGTTGAGTCATTAGATTCCATACAATACAATTACTTCAATGAGTCGCGTGTAATATTAACATTTGTATGTTTGTAGCCGCGTGAAATTTATAACCTATATATTTACATTTATATATTTTTTTTGTGTCGGGATTATCTGAGAATTTTTAATTTTGTTTTGTTGATATTTTACAATGTTTTAATTTGTTTGCGTTTTGCGGTTATAGTTACTTACAAGAATAGAATTACGTACGGCCGTTATATATATTACTAATATTATAAAGAGGAAAGATTGTATTCGTTTTTTTTCTTATTAATGCATATAAATTATGTACAGTCGGATCTGAAATTTCATATCCATAATATTCCTGGCATACCGTTATCATTTTCATTGTTGTTTTTTTTATTAATATAATTGTTGCCTTATCACGTTGTGACTTATTATGATACGTGACCTTATCACCTTATCAGGTAATTAACTGTGACACATATTGTTGTATTAAACGTTTTATAAATAGGTACTAATAATAAAGTAGTATTGATAGCAACGTGGTGGTTCTCCAAGGTTACGATCGCAGAAGGTCGTAAGTTCGAATCTGGCCGGCACCAAAAAATCTAAATATTGGAAGTTAATAACATAAAGATAGTATAGATAGCAACGTGGTGGTTTTTTAAGGCTACGAACGCAAAAAGTCGTAAGTTCGAATTTGTCCAGCACCAAAAAATTTAAACATAAGTTTTATAAACTAATAACATAAATAGAGTATTGATAGCAACACGGTGGTTTTCCAAGGCTACGGTCGCAAAAGGTCGTAAGTTCGAATCTGGCCAGCATCAAAAAATCTATATATTGGCAGTTTCGTTAAAACGGTGATAGATTATTGTTTATGGTCACTACCACATATGGAGGGAGGGATAGCAAGTAGATCGCCAATTAGCCCCCCCCCCCCTTTTTTTTTGTTAAGGAGTTTAGTCTATTACTCGGTGCTAAAGAGACCTGTAGTACTGCGATTTAAATAGATCTATTACGCTCGCCGTTTTTGAAGGTTCGATGCCTAGGTCGGTCAGGGACAAGACTTGAAGGATTTTTTAAAGAGCGATTAGTTTTAGTCTCTCCTTGGTAATACATCGTGGTTAATTCCCGCTGGTATCATCATTAACTATATCTTAATTTTGATGCCCTTCTCTTTATTATTATCTATACATCTATACATATAAATAAAATTGGAGTGTCTGTTTGTAATATTGAAATAACCGTTTTTTACGACATGCATATGAATATAAATACGGTACGTACACCAAAATACCATTTTTTAACAATTTTGTCTGTCAGCCTGTTTGTTCCGGCTAATCTCTGAAATAGCTGGACCGATTTTGACGGGGCTTTTTTTGAATGATATATGGAAACTTAAGGAACTTTTATTTTGGAAAAATAAAGTTTTATTCCACGCGGATGAAGTCGCGCGTCCAGTTAGTAGTAAATAAATGTAAATATATAAAAAGTGTTAATGTATATTAATAAATTTATTCTAATATTATAAAGTAATTTTATAAAGAATGAAGTCGCTTACGTAGCGACGCGTGCATGTGACATTGAAGTGTTTGTTTTCTATTT